TAAACCCTAAAGCCTAAACCCAGCCATCATCATCCCTCCTTCTCAGAGGCCTCTGAGCTCAGCTCCAGCTGGCCTTGCGGGACCAGTCCGTGGCGTTGGCGGTCTTCTGCTCGGGAATTCACAGAAGAAGCTGTGAAGGGCTAGGGTTTAGGGTTTAGGGTTTAGGGTTTAGGGTTTAGGGTTTAGGGTTTAGGGTTTAGGGTTTAGGGTTTAGGATTTAGGATTTAGGGTTTAGGGTTTAGGGTTTAGGGTTTAGGGTTTGCCTCGGCCCCCAAGCTTTACTGGGGGTTGTTGTGACTCTGCAGGGCTCCTACGAGCTACTTGGAAGTTATCACTGTACTTATAAGCCCCCGAAGTCTTCTAAGTAGGTATGGCTGGACTTAGAATTGGGGCCAAAAGTAGCCATGGACCTCCAGGTACTGTAGGCCAAGCCTAGGAATGCGACACTCTTAAGGCTTGAAACGGCCAAGCACAGATCAGTTGCGAGCCACTTTGAGTCAAGAACAAATGTTGCTATTGGGAGAGTCACTGGAGGTTTGGAGGCTTTCAGGAGGTCTCTCAACCCGAAAGGGAATACCTGGCAGAGGCCTTTGACAGGTCAAGATGGGCGAACGCGCCCGTTGGATTGCTACGGTCACCCACATTTGCCCTCTGCCCAAGATAGGAAACTGTAGCCCATAATCATAGTCTACTGGCTTTCAAGGTAAACCCTAAACCCTAAACCCTAAACCCTAAACCCTAAACCCTAAACCCTAAACCCTAAACCCTAAACCCTAAACCCTAAACCCTAAACCCTAAACCCTAAACCCTAAACCCTAAACCTAAACCCTAAACCGGCCTGAGCACAGAGGTCCTGCGGCGATCCAGATGCAGCCGAAAGCCGGAGCAGCTCTGCCCGCTCCTGGCGGAGCCCCGTGGGGAAGCCTGGGAAGGGAGAGTTTAGGGTTTTGGGTTTAGGGTTCAGGGTTTGGGGTTTAGGGTTTAGGGTTTAGGGTTTAGGGTTTAGGGGCCCCTTGTCTATGTGATTCCACGGCTTCTCTCCCACAAGCATCGGCTACCGGTGGACAGGGATTCAGGCCAAAGGAGAGGGGGGTTGTTGCAAGCCGGCGCACTGCCTGCGCAAGTGATCCTCTGAGAGAAACCCCCCCCGCCCTGAAACCCGCCAAAAACTCCCTAAAGACTCAGAGCCCTACAGCTCCTAAAGCCCTAGAACCCCTTGAAAACCCTGGAACACCCCAAAACCTGCTACAACCCTCTAAACGCCCCTAGAACCCCCTAAACCCTAAACCCTAAACCCTAAACCCTAAACCCTAAACCCTAAACCCTAAACCCTAAACCCTAAACCCTAAACCCTAAACCCGAACAAGGCCCGGAATGCCTCCTGGGTTCCCTGCCAGGCCGGAGCCCACGGAATGCTTCGGATTTCGGGTTTAAGTTTGTGATGTTCTCTTTTATACTAACAGTCTAGGGTTTAGGGTTTAGGGTTTAGGGTTTAGGGTTTAGGGTTTAGGGTTTAGGGTTAGGGTTTAGGGGTTAGGGTTTAGGGTTAAGGGTTTAGATGTTCCCCCGTCTACGAACAGTCCTTAATGGGGATTATAGTACCCCCTTACTACATTCCCTATCACGATTAAGGACTGTTAGTGTAAGGGGAAACATGCCAAGTTTAAGTTGTGATGTTCCACATGATATAAATCCCCTCCCCCCATGACTAAAACCCCCCTACCCCCTAACATTAAATCCCCCAGTATAGTATAGTCATATTGTAGTATATGGGGGGGTATTTAATATTAGGGGGTGGGGGGGTAGCATTAGGGGGAGGGAGTATACTAACAGTCCTTAATAGGTTAAAGTACCCCCAATTTTAATCCCTATTCAGGACTGTCAGTATAAGGAGGAACATCCCAAGGTTTAAGGCTTGGGTTTCTTTAGGGTTCATGGGTTGCAGCTGTTTTGGGGTTGAGGGTCTAGGGTTTCGGTTGTTTTTGAGGGTTTCGGGCTTAGGGCCATTGGTTTTTCTGCTATACGAAGTTGTAAGACATTGTAGTCTGTTACAATCTGCTTTAGACTCGTTGATCTAGAACAGGCTGTAATAGAGTGTAGTACTCTACGATTGGTTCGTCATAGATGTTGGCTAGTGAGATGTTATACTTTGTAGTAATCTGCAGGAATGTATTCTGATGTGTTGCTCCCTATAATATGATGATCTACATTGTATAACAGCTAAAACACATGTATTATATTCATGCATTATATCATAGTATAGATCATGTTGAGGCTATTGAAGTGGATGTGGGGTTCATGTGCTGCATTGTTCGTGTATGGCCTGGGCGCACCCCTTAACTTGAGCCCAGGCCACCTGGAATGCCGCCAGGGCCCTTGGATGCTCAACTGCTAGCTGCTGCCGCCATCACCCCTGCCCATACTTGGGTGCATGGCATTTGTTCTGGGAAGCAGGTATCTCACTTCGTACGAAGGGTAGTGCTCAACCTTTTTGAGCCCTAAACCCTAAACCCTAAACCCTAAACCCTAAACCCTAAACCCTAAACCCTAAACCCTAAACCCTAAACCCTAAACCCTGTAGTTCTTGAGCTGAGGGGAATGGTCCCACCTGGAATGCCTGGGATGCCTCCGGGTATGCCTCCTCCCGGCATGCCAGGCGTGGCATGTAAACCGAAATCCCACTGAACCTCACCAATCACACTGTATCATACTATATATAATGCTCTATATATATATATATATATACATATATACATGTATATATATATATATATATACAGTAAAAACGCTGTTTAAGAAAACGGTTTTCCGGAGATAGGGTACCCTAAGTTTCTTAGATTCCATTACCCATGTACCCGGGGGGGTTTGAGCCTAGGGTAGGCTTGGTTTCTAAACTAATTTCTTAAGGGAGTACGCTATACCATTAGACCAAACCCATGTTCCAGGAATGGCGGTGGGAAGGGTTCCCGAATGTGACTCCCGCGCGTTTTTGGGGTAGGGTCAGGCGGGGGAGTCACGTTTAGAGCTTTTCAGGGCTGAAAACCTCTAGACTCCCGCCCGTTTTTGGGGTAGGGTCAGGCCGCAGGCGCGGGGGAGTCACGTTTCAGGCCGCAGGCGCGGGGGAGTCACGTTTTAGAGCTTTTCAGGGCTGAGAACCTCTAGAATGTGACTCCCGCCCGTTTTTGGGGTAGGGTCAGGCCGCAGGCGCGGGGGAGTCACGTTTTAGAGCTTTTCAGGGCTGAAAACCTCTAGAATGTGACTCCCGCGCGTTTTTGGGGTAGGGTCAGGCCGCAGGCGCGGGGGAGTCACGTTTTAGAGCTTTTCAGGGCTGAAAACCTCTAGAATGTGACTCCCGCGCGTTTTTGGGGTAGGGTCAGGCCGCAGGCGCGGAGGAGTCACGTTTTAGAGCTTTTCAGGGCTGAAAAACCTCTAGAATGTGACTCCCGCGCGTTTTTGGGGTAGGGTCAGGCCGCAGGCGCGGGGGAGTCACGTTTTAGAGCTTTTCAGGGCTGAAAACCTCCAGGATTTTCTAGAAACTGACCCCAAAACACTAGGGTACCCTAAGTTTCTTAGCTAGAAGGCAACCGCACATCGACCAATATTCCCGGGTCTAGGGGCTCAGTTTCTTAAACAGTGGTTTCTTATACAGTGGCTTTACTGTATATATATATATATGTATATATATATATAGAGATGTGTATGTATGTATATATATATATGTATATATATATATAGATAGTGGCTCCCCTGGCAGGCATGGGTCGCGGTATGCCAGGCATGGGCCGGGGCGCGTGAAGCTCCCACTCCAGCGGAAGCGTTGGCTGTCAATGAATGCGAGATGGATCTTAAGAGCATATCAGGCCCACCAGGACTCGACTTGTGCCCATGCTGCTTCGGCTTGCTTAGTCCATGGCCGGACTGCCAAAACAATCTTGACAGAGGGGTGTTGTGTCGGAGCAGCAGAGCATACGGGAGAAGGAGAAGATACGAACGCGATGCGTCAAAATGCCGAATGTCCTTTTTGTACTACCAACTTGGGCATACTGGTGCCTACAGTGGTGCACTGCTCTAGTGCTTTGCAGTCTGTCGTGACTTGTGAGGGACCTCATGTCTTTAACAGGCAGAAGATCCAACTGTAGACTTGATAGATTAATCTGCGCAGCCCGCTCTCTGAATCCTTAGCCCTTTCGTGACGCATGGGCATCCCACATCATCTCATAGCTTCGACAGACAGTAGCGATTGTTCCCCACTCCGGTGCTTGAGAGCTTTCAGAGCCGCGTAGGCGTCTCTCTCATACTTGTTACGTTCAATGTAACGCGCGTTCGCTGAGAGACTCTACAGGCCATGAACGAACCTCCTAGTTGGGGTAGCCTTGTGAAGTGTCATCTAAGCCAGCTGGGCGCCCTCTGGTTCAAGGGTCCAAGGGGACGCCTCCTGCGGTTTCGGTGGGGTCAACTCAACACCAGCAGCCCCTGAGAGACGAGTGATCTATTAGAGCAGCTAGCCATGAAACAAGATTGCGACCATCAGACAACAACCCCCTGACAGCCCCCAGCTCATTCAGCATGATTTCTGTCAACAAACCCGAGAAACAAACCTGCAGCAACTTGGGTCCTGTTCAGCTCACCAACACACAGCACCAACGAGGTCCAGTTCTCGTGCCGCGGGGGTAGTGCCCACGTAGTATCGATCAGCATGGATTTGAGGCGCGGCAGAGAAAGAACTCCCCGGGTTTTCATTTCGTGTCCCAGTGGTCCTAGCGCAGCCCAAACCTGAGCTCCAACCCTGAACCTTGGAATCTGCTCCCAAGCGGCGTCATTCCCATAAAGACTCTGCGACGCGCCTGCTTGCCAGGCCACCGCCTCCGCCCATGGGTATGAACTTAGTCATGCCGGCACCGCCTTTGAGCACTGTTTTTTTGGTCTTTTTCTTGGCATGCTTCGTGGCGCAAGTGCAGTTTAAGGAGGGCATCCATGGAATCTCTCGAAAAGGACGTTGCTTCTGTGGTTCTTTAGTTCAACTTTGAGCATTCTTTCCTCATCCAGTCCTCAACACCCCTCCTGGTCTGCCACGCCACTCCACACGTATACTAGCTTCGCTGCCAGGCCCAGCAAGCGCAGACGCTACAGAGCCCAAAGTTCGTGCCTGTACCGAAGCTGCCACTTGGCTTTGAGAACGTCTGGCTCCAGCACAGTTACACAACATAGAGTGGGATGTTCCCCCTCAGACAAACAGTCCGGACTGCTAATATAGGGACAAGCATCTTAACAGTTACACAACATATGGGGTTACAACACAAAGGCGCAGGTGGGTTTAGGGTTTAGGGTTTAGGGTTTAGGGTTTAGGGTTTAGGGTTTAGGGTTTAGGGTTTAGGGTTTACCTCAACCCCCAAAATATGTAAAATAATGGCCCTTCTAAGGGTTTTGGGCTGTTTTTTACATACTTTGGGGGTCCAGGTAGGGTTTAGGGTTTAGGGTTTAGGGTTTAGGGCTTAGGGTTTAGGGTTTAGGGTTTAGGGTTTAGGGTTTAGGGTTTAGGGTTAGGGTTTAGGGTTTAGGGTTTAGGGTGGGGAGGGGGCGGCGGGGGTGGGGGGGTGGGGAGGGCTGGATCGGGAGAACACTTTCGTCAACCAATGCCGCACTGCCCAATCTGGCTGACAGGCCTCTCAACATGGGCGGCACGGCACTCGGAGACCTGGACCGGTTTCTCAAGGAAGTTCCCGATTCTACTTGGAGGTTTCCGCAAGTGAGGGTGCCTTATTTGGGCCCTTCTCATGAGGGATCCGACTGATTTGGGTTCCATAATGGGGTCCCTTATTCTCGTAAACTCCCACTTAAGAGGCCGTTAGGCTGAGATTCGAGTTTGCTGAGCTCAGGTGCGCCGCCAATGGGAGGCATGGGCCAGCCGTGGCAGGGAGGCATGCAAGGCGGGGCGGGCGTTCATTGGCGCTCATGGGGGTTTTCGAACATAGGGGACCCCTAAAACCCAAAATAGTAGGGCTTCCCTTATCATGAGGACCCCAAGAAAGGTACCCCCCAATTTCGGAAAGCACCTCATGGGATTTCCTTCTGCCTCGGCCTGTCTCTTCGAGCATGCAGCGCAAGCTTCAGTTGATCTTTTTTTTTACCAACCCTGAGAATTGAATATGGCAACCGTATCCATCCCACCCTGAATCCCCGCATGCGGAAAAGAATCTCCTCATGTCGAGGGTTGTTTTGCGCAGCGGATCTGGCACCTCCCAACGTCCTGAACAACAGCTCGAGTGCAGCAGTTTAGGGTTTAGGGTTTTTTAGGGTTTATAGGGTTTATAGGGTTTATAGGTTTATAGGGTTTATAGGGTTTATAGGGTTTATAGGGTCTGTAGGGTTTATAGGGTTTATAGGGTTCATAGGGTTTATAGGGTTTAGGATGGTTTAGGGACAAGGGGGGGGGTGGCTAGCTCCACGCAGTCGTTGTTTTCGGGACTTCTCCTGGCTCCGCATGCAATGGTCACATTGACTGCAATGTCCATGAAGGTTGAGCCCTTGGCCTTATCAAGTTTAGGGTTTAGGGTTTCGGGTTTAGGGTTTAGGGTTTAGGGTTTGAAAACTGCTTTGGGTTTTAGGGGTGTGGGTCTACATACCCTCCAGGCGGACTCGGCGGCATGCAAACGCAGCCAATGCGCAGCGCCCAGCTGCTTCGTGACGGTGGCAGCACAAGATCTTACTCAACGAATGGGCCCGGAGGTTCTACAAGGAAAGCACGCAGGGCACACATGTGGGTGGTTGTCAAAGTGAGGGTCCCTTTTGGGACCCCTATTATAATTCGGCACCGAATATTTAGGGTACCCCAAAAGGGATCATAATTTTGACAACCACCCATGTATGATGTCTTCTGTGGGTGTAAGGCCGGACAAGTTTCGGGGTTCCGATGAGCATACTGTAGGTTCCTCCCGGGTTCCCGTTCTTGCTCCAAAGCCCGAAGCCTTAAAGACGTCAGGTCCAACGGCATGCAGCCCAACATGGGAATGAAAGGCCCGCTTCGGGATGCGCTGCAGACCGGTGCCTGTGCAGGGTTTACGGTTTGAGGGTTTAGGGTGAAGCCAACCTTCGGGAATTCCAGTCCCGTAAATGTCTTTGACCATCTCCGTGAAGCTCCGAACACGAAATCCCCAGACTTGCCTGAGATTCTTCGAGAGAGGTGGCATGCGGCCGAACTGGGGCGGCATGCCGCCGCTGAATGGCAAAGAGACTTTCACAGGTCTACAGTCTACCTTAAACGCCTAGTGAGCCAAAATACGAGGCCACTGTACTCCCAAAAGTCCAAACTGTAGCCCACAATTATAGTCTACTGGCTTTGAAGGTACACGTATTCCAGGAAGAATATGTCCTGGACCTTGCTTTCAGGTCTTGGGCATTTGAAATCTCACCAGCATGGCGCTGCGACTCTTCTGTATAATGTTCTTACGTGGACACGGCGACGGCTGTAATGCAACATCTGCACTCTCTTGCCTATTCGCAGACACCCTGACGTTTGTAATACAGCCCGACACAACTCACTCACAGTAAACTCCACAAAGTTGGAACGTGGTTTAAGTTAAGAATGATTCGATCTCGGAGTCCCGAAAGCCATAGACCTTCTGGAGTATGGGGATAAGGATGTTCCAACTTTTGGGAGTGAACCGTATGTCCTTACTTTCCTTGGCACCACCCAGGCAGCAACAGTTTGGGCCAAACGTGCAGCAGAACTTTTCTCAGTCAAGGCCTTGGCATGCGAAATCGCTTGGAAGCTGCTGCAAGCCCTGGAAACCCTAAGCCCTAAGCCCTAAACCCTAAACCCTAAACCCTAAACCCTAATTAAACCCTAAACCCTATCATTGCACCGAGGCCACAGCTGTTCGCAAAGCCGCCGCAGCAGTTCCTCGCCTGCACTTTGACGCGACCGTGCCGCGACATGTCTCCCGCAAGACGGAAGACATTTTGTAGGTTTAGGGTTTAGGGTTTAGGGTTTAGGGTTTAGGGTTTAGGGTTTAGGGTTCACGGAGGGACCCTTATATGGCACCTTAGGGGTTCTTTAGGGGCTACTCAGGTATGAAGGGGCTATATGTAAGGTATCCTTGTATCCCTTACATAAAGGGTCAAGCTTCGCGTGTGCAGGGTGCCCCCGAAAAGCCGCAAGATAAGCGACGCAGCACGCCGAAAGCTAAGAGCCCTCTCACCGCGGGACTTGTGGTGAGCTTCTTAAGTGGGGGTACCTTATTGGGGTCCTTATGATAAGGGGATCCTAGTATTTGGGGGTTTATATTCGGGGTCCCTTATTCTCGTAAACCCCCAAATGAGACTTAGTCCAAGGACGATTGGCACCAGAGGCCCCACTGCTGCTGGGGGTTCGCCTGGTGGACTGCAGCGGCAGAGCCACAGCTGAACATGGGTCGTATGAGCATTGTAGTAGTATGTATGCCTATATTCATCATACACTTATGTATTCAGAAACTATATTCATAACGTATAGAGAAAATGTAATGTATGCTCAGGCTTGGAAGAAGGCCCAAGACGTCAGGGACCTGCAGTTGGGTGTATGAAACGATGTATGGAAAATTGGCTTCAGATTAGATTTTGGGACTTAGGGTTTAGGGTTTAGGGTTAGGAGCCCTGAGAGTTACAGAGTCTTTCCAGAAGACTTAGTCGAAAGCCCACGAAGCCTGCAGTGCGTGACGTCCTCCCCTAGCACCCACTTCCTTGATCGAAGGAACAGCTATGGAAACCACGGTGGACAAGGCACCAGAATCCGCGTAGCCAGCGCTGTCAGCTCCACGCCGGCTTTCAAAACCCTAAACCCTTAACCCTAAACCCTTTAAGGGCTCTCAGGGGGAGACTTCAGCATAGCCCCCCCTCCCCGCCAAGCCAACACTACCCTTCCCTCAGCCAAGGCTCCCCACAAAAGGACAACAAGGTCTTTGGTCGACATTTAGAGCTACATAGTTCGCGCAAGTATAACAATACCAAGTAGTTCCATTCATACAACTATTCCATTCTAGCCATTGAATCATCATAGTATTTAGACTGGGTATAATGATTATCATGTTTATAAGATGCATAATATTTGATGCATAATGCTTGAGAAAAAGAAGACAATGCATATTTGTTACAAGTATTGTAACAAACAAATGTACAAACAACAAACTTCGAATATCCAGTAGGAATTACATAGTTCAGTATGAGCTAAAGAGTTCTAATAGCTACAATCATTTCGATGCCTATAATGGCTATAGCAGCTATATCTGTTGTAGCCCATGGCCTCATCGTAAAGGATGCGCATGAGGACTCCACACGCGAGCCACCGGTCCGTGACATGCCGGCCAAGGAGTTTTACCGGTGTGCGAGACTCAAAACCCTGTAAGCCCTAACCCCTAAACTGCTTGGACTCAGCGCGCACAGTCATGAAAGACTTCTGCAAGCCTTGGCTGTGCAGGTATCAATCCACAGGCCTGGTGGGATCTTCCCGAAAAGACACCCCAGCTTCATTTGCACAGTCACGAAAAGTTCTGAATAGCTGTAAGAGCACGATGCTGAACGCTTCTGCCCAATCTTGACATGACCCGTGACTGGAATGCGGGGTAGATGTTTCACATATCCGCAAACCCTAAACCCTAAACCCTAAACCCTAAACCATGTAAGGACTTGGGAGTTCACCGGAAGGTTGTTCCTCCGCCCCCCGGCGGACCTCCGCCGGGCATGCAGTATGGCCAGTTCGGCTTACCCAGCGCAGTTCCAAGTCTCTCCCATGATGGGCGTTTAGATGCATATGTAGAAGTAGAAGTTTCTTGGACTTCTGCATGTGGCTGAGGTCAGCAGCGATCGTTGATGCCTCAGTCTGCTTTCTAGCAACTTGCCCCTAGCCTTCCATAGCTTAGAAGGATGAAAGCATGAGGGAAGGAGGTACTTTATAGAATGGCTTAAACGGAATTTATAGGGGGATGCTCATTCCCTACTAAGAACCAGTAGGACAAGGATGAAACGAACCCCAAAACCCTCAAGCCGAAACTCATAAGCCCAAATTAAAGGCGTGCGGGAGCGCCCCCTCCGCCACCGCCGCATCCAAACTGGAAGCCCGGGCAACCGCCGCCCCCTCCGGGCCGGGAGCTGAGTCTTCGCGCAAATAATACATTAGGTTCGCGGGTTTGGGGTTTGGGGTTTAGGGTTTAGGGTTTAGGGTTTAGGGTTTAGGGTTAGGGTTTAGGGTTTAGGGTTTAGGGTTTAGGGTTTAGGGTTTAGGGTTTAGGGTTTGGGGTTTAGGGTTTAGGGTTTAGGGTTTAGGGTTTAGGGTTTAGGGTTTAGGGTTTAGGGTTCAGGGTTTAGGGTTCAGGGTTTAGGGTTTAGGGTTCAGGGTTTAGGGTTTGCCGGTTTAGGGTTATTCTTCTCGGCAGGCCCTTGGGACATTTTCTCTTTTCCCTTATTGGGTTTGAGAGGACCACAGTCAGGAATATTGTTCAGATGGTTTTAAGCGCCATCCTAGGCTTCTTCTGATGATAAGAAGTATTCTTCTTATTGTTATAACCGTTCATATTGACTGTACTATTTATCCTAGTTCGAACAGTCGTAAAATATACCGTTGTTAATGATGGTTGTAGCTTATGTGGCTTAGAGTGTCTTAGCTAGATGCAGGGGAGTGTCAAAGTGGGACTTGGTCAGTCGTGCTTTCTTGGTATCTTCCAGCTGAAGTTCTGTCCACAACTAAAGGGCGGTCGGGGCCGCTGGTCCAGTGTGTGCAGAAGCTGAGTATGTACTGCTAACCCTAAACCCTAAACCCTAAACCCTAAACCCTAAACCCTAAACCCTAAACCCTAAACCCTAAACCCTAAAAGTGAGGGTTCTTAATTACCGATTCGATAGCTATCATTGTTCTGGTTCTTCGTCCTGACAGGTCCCGGCCCGCCAGTTGGTAAGCCAAGCACGCTGGAGGCGCGCTCCGTTGGCATGTCGAAGCTGCAGATTGAGTGCTGCTGTTCTTCATGTGATGCTGAGCCATGCTCCACTTCTCCAGACTTGGCCAGAGCCCTGAAATGCAGATTTCCGGCTGAAGAGACTTGCCACCGCCCGCCTGCACACCCTTCCTGAGCCGAACGCAAGCCATGGGAGTGATTCGTTTGGTACTTCTGGGCCTTGTCGCCACAGGTGCAGAGGGCGGAGCCTGCACTCCGGTAGATTCCTGTCCAAAGCTGTCGGACGGGTTGTACTGCCCAGTCAACGATGTCACCGAGCATGCGGACATCAACCGGGACGTCGCCTTGATCAAGAGGTACCTGGACGATCCGCCTGACTATGCCATGGCGAAGGAGGTCTACACCATGGGCAACTCCTCCTCCAAGGGCCTTGGGAATATGCGTACCCTCCAGGACTTGGCCCTAAAGGACATGACCGTCGATGGGAAGTACACCAATGTCTTCTACACCGGTGCTCTCAACCTCTACAACTCGACGGCCGCCATCTGGCACAACTACATCATGGCATGCTTGGATAACACGACATTTTGCCAGGGACAGAGTGACTCTTTCAGGCGGTATGTGGTCAACAAGGCCCTCATCGGCGTGGTGACAGCCTATGCCACCTATGAGTTCGGCGCGGCTGTTTGGAAAGGTGAGAACGGTCAGACAGCAGATGGTCAGGCGGCCTACGCCTGGGACGAGGGTGCCGCTTTCTACATCGGCAACATTGACCCCGTCCTGGGTGATGGGTTCAGTGGTGCTGCTCCTGGCAACCTCTACTCACCGTATGAGTTCAACTGGAAGCGCGATTTCGACTACCCTGACGGTGTCAACACACATCAGGCTTCCATTCCAATCTTGAACTATGGCCTCATCAACGTCCGTGGCAGCTACAACGCCACGAACGTGAAAGCCGCAGAGTTGGCCATGTACAAGATTTTCTCCATAGCCGCCATCCGCAGTGCCATCAAGTACGCCGACAAAGCCTACAACGGTGGAACCATGGAGCCCAAGTACCTGGCTGAGGGCTGGGCATATTGGCGATCCGCATCTGGGTACATGTCCAACTTCAACGCTACTGCTGTGGAGGCTGTGGATGCACTCTTTGACTTGAGCCAAACGTCCATACCAGCGGACACCCCCTGCAAGGTGAAGACGTTGGTGGAGTCCCTGTACCCACACCTCGGCATCACCTGCGCTATGGTGGGCAAGTGGAAGGATGCAACCACCGGCTCATGCCTGGACCTCCCCTGCGACGACGCGGGCAACTCCGCCACCCTCCTGGCGGGCTCCGACGCGTACGTGGACATGTGCAAGGCTTGTGTGTTTGGGGGGGGGGGGGGGGAACACCTGCGATAGGACATGTACACTCGTCAAGGAGCAACTCCTAGATGCATCTAGAGTCTGCGAATTCTGCGAGTCCCGAATAGTCCCGAGACAATGCAAGTGCGTGATTTGGAGGCGACGACGACCACGACGACCGGTTCCTCGGAGACGAGTGCCGTGGGTCGTGCTGCCTTGCCAGCAGCCGGTGCACTGGCTGCGACACTAGCCCTCAGCTGCCAGTGAACACAACTGGCAATTGATAATTAAACTGCCGCTCGGGCCATGAAGTTGCGTTGTGGCAGTAGCAACCGCGAACACCAATGTCAACCGCCGTTGACATAGCTGATTCGTTCTTTCGAGACTGTGTTCCTTTCTCTTGAGCTGTGCTAGAACTGTTGCACGGCAGTCGTTGAACGGGCATAGGTAGGGTGACCACGCATAGGTTTTGTTTCCTGATTGTCCGGAAGTCCGACACCTGGCTAAAGTGATCAGTAGAGGAACATGATGCACGACTTCACCCATTTGGGACTTGTGTTGATATGGGACGCCCGGAGTTCTTGTATGCTGGCTTCTCCCTGTGCCGATTTCAGCTACTGGTTCATAGTGGCTGATGTGCCACGTCTTTTACTTAAGGTCCCTAGTGCAGATCTACGGAGTTGTAATCATTGGCTCGTGGGCTTGGCCGTTATACGAGTGAATCGTGTAGCAGCCTGGGACTTTGAGGAGTTTATGGCCCAAACCCTTCGAGCAGTAGCCCATTGCTTGGCGAAATGTGCCACCAGACTTGTACAGGGCTTCCACGGCAGACAGAGGGTCCGACCTTAACAGGCTGCGCCTGGACGCGAAAACAAGCGAGTCACTGCAAGACAGAGCCTTCCTTGATGTATCTGGATAAGTTGAGCCTGAAGGTGACTGAAAGCATGCACGTACGGTGACCGACACGGTCACACCCCCTACCAACATCTTGCCAAGCAGTGATGAGCCAGTGATACTGCGTGCGTCGCGGTGCTTACATTTCTCGAATTTCGAAGTGACGAAGCGGCCACAATCGAGCTTGACGCTGTAACATGATTCGAGCATTGTTGGAGAAATGGCCCTAAACCCTAAACCCTTTAAGAACATTAAGGCCATCGTGTTTACGCGGCAGGCGGCCATGGCGGCAGCGCAAGCGCTCGGTGCTGCCAGGGCACTTAAAGAGACCGAAGCAGTGGAAACAGGATCATAGTGGATCGCTAGTTTTAACTTTATATGAAGATGGTAGACATACTTTGTTCTCATTCATAGGACATAATCTTCATATGTTTCTGACTAGCACCATTGATGATTAATCTTAATCTGCTTATTGCTACTCTACTGATGATTTCGGGACCGGCGCATATCCTGAGGCGCCTAACCTGATGGAGGCCTGGTCTGCGGCCACAACGTTTCCTGAAGCGTCATGTCATGTCAAGTCGAAACGGCATGCGATTTGAAAGCCTTGGCCAGGGGTTTCGGGGTAAGGGTTTAGGGTTTTAGGGTGCAGGGTTTAGGGTTTATAGGGTTTTAGGGTGCAGGGTTCACGGTTCAGGGTTTAGGCCAGCATCGAAGGCATCGCTATCTTGCCGCAGCGATGTACCCTTCTGCTTTCTGCCTTTGTCGAGGCAACTTCCGCAATCGACTTCACTGCGAAGTTGGAGGAGCACTCCGTGGCTTGGTTTTTTGCTGAGTTGCCTACAGGGTGGGCCCCCCTAGTTATAAGTAGAGTTATAAGGGCCCTAAATTGGGTTATAAGGACCCTAAGTTAGGTTATAAGTCCCTTAGCTACAGTTAGTATAGTAAGGGGGCCCCACCCTGTAGCTGTCGCGTCACACGGGCCGCCAACATGAAATCTCGAGAGGACCTGAGAAGAAAGCACCCGCAGGCTTGGCTTTGATGTAATCGACAAGTAAATGAATATATATATATATTATATTATATATATATATATAATATATATATATATATATATATTATATATATATATTTATATATATGAGAAGACATAATGTGTGTGTATCTCATATATAGTATACATAATATGCAGTACGCGTGTATATAGCAAAACGATGATTAATGCAATGGATCTTTACCGGCACACCATTGACATGTCAATCATCTTGGGAAGCTCATGGTGAGAGATGCACAGGTGAAGGTGCCATCGGACGCCTGGCGCCCAGTATCGGAGCATGGTCTGAGTCATCGGCCGTTTAACATCTGTAAAGTGTAAAGGAGTTTACAGGGACTACCCTCCCACCCCTCCCCCCCGTCCTGTTTTCGGGAAGACCCCATATAAATCCTCAGCACCCTGAACCCCAAACCCTAAAGCCCTTAACCTAGAACCCTCAACCCTCAACCCCCTAAACCCCCTAAACCCCCCAAGCCCCTCAACCCTAAACCTTAAGCCCTAAACCCCAAACCCCAAACCCCAAAAAACCCTAAACCCTAAACCCTAAACCCTAAACCCTAAACCCTAAACCCCAAACCGAGATCCAGGCATGGACCTGGAAGCTCGAGGAGTTGGAGGCCTGGTTTGCGAGCGGCGGCACTTCCAAGGCTTGCGCGGCCCGCTTTTTTCGGTAGCCCTATGGGGTTTAGGGTTTAGGGTTTAGGGTTTAGGGTTTAGGGTTTAGGGTTTAGGGTTTAGGGTTTAGGGTTTGGGTTTAGGGGGCAGGTCTTTAGGGGGTTTAGGGCTTTAGGGCTTTTTTTGGAGTTTAGGGGCTTGAGGGTTTAGGGTTTTTAGGGTTTAAGCGTTTCAAGGGTTAAAGGGTTTGAGGATGTGAATTTGAAGGTTTTTAAGGGTTTTACTCCAAGCGCATGAACCGCTGGTAGGGACAAAACTGGCCGATCAAGGGGCCAAGCACGACTGGCCTCATCCAAACCACAGCTCTTGACAGCCCTTTTTTGTCTAGGCACTAACCAAAAGCAGCATTTCAATTGAGGTTCCTCTACATGACAGTCCTTTTTTGGGGTGTTCCTGCTATAATACGGAGATATACAAGGTGACCCCAAAGGGACCATGGTGTAGAGAACTGCCCGGCTGTCTTTCTTCCCGGCCCGGGGCCGGCCAGACATGGTTCCAGATGTCACAACTTCAAGGAACCATCCTGCATGCACAGGTCCAGAAGGGGCCGTTTAGGGGTTTAGGGATTTAGGGCTTAGGGCTTGGGGTCTAGGGTTTAGGGTTTAGGGTACATGCAATAAGGGATGTTTCAGCCTAGCCCCCAAGCCCTACTCCCACGAAGCTTGCTATCCTGTTGCTATGACCGTTCGCAGAGCTTGTCCCCCCAACAAAAACCCTCAGCCCCTAAGTCCCTAAGCCCCTAAACCCCTAAGCCCCTAAACAACCCTAAACCCAAACCCTAAATCCTAAACCCTAAACCCTAAACCCTAAACCCTAAACCCTAAACCCTAAACCCTAAACCCTAAACCCTAAACCACACGTCTCAAGCACTTTCCATCCTGGCCAGACGGCGCCGGCTCCGGCCCCTGCGGCCGCGACACCGCCCCCGGAAGCGCAGACGCCGAAGAAGCGCTCGCACAGCAAGGCCTGGATTTCATGCAGGAGAGGGGAGGGGAGCGAGGGTTTAGGGTTTAGGGTTTAGGGTTTGGGGTTTGGGGTTTGGGGTTTGGGGTTTAAGAATTTAGGGACATTTAGGGTTTAGGGTATGATTTCAGAGAGGAGGGGGGGGGGGCTTGAAGGTCGATGAGTAGTTCTAAGTAGGGTTATATGCACCAGTTGCATCTCCAGCTACCTTACTTGCAAGCCTGCTTATGGCTACCCAGGAGCCTCCAGGAGAGGGGTTGACTCTTTTTCTCTCGGGGGACGTAGGAGGGACATGTAGTTTAGGGTTTAGGGTTTAGGGTTTATAGGGTTTGGGGTTTAGGGTTTAGGGTTTGTGTCATAGGGTATAGGGCTTAGGGTTTTTTGTGCCTGGACTTTGGATTGGACGTGGATGCTGGGGGTGACACAAGACAGTCGTCGTCAGCAAGGCAAGTTGCCCCTCATGATTCATGATGGCTGAGTGGATATTATCTTGTTACATATACAAATATGTCTATACACATAAATAAATAAGCAAATATATATATATATATATATATGGGTCTGTCTATATGTACATAAAACAGTTTCTTTTTCTTGTTGTACTGTTTTGTATATCAATCCAATTCGTCGCTTGCGTCTTGCGGATCAACCCGAGGCCTTCGGCTACGAGATTGAGGAGGCTCTTGCGCTGCAGCCGCATCCCAAGCACTCCGAAGAGCTGTGATTTGGGGTTTAAGGTTTAGGGCCTAAACCCTACCCCTAAACCCTAAACCCTAAACCCTAAACCCTAAAGCCTAAACCCTAAACCCTAAACCCTAAACCCACACCATTAATACCAGTACTGTCTGCAGAACAGTAGGTAATTGTAACGTGCTTCGATGGCTCCTTCTCATCCTCGGGAGGAGGTGATGAACTTCAACACGAAATCCCTAGCCCTACACCCTCCACCCTCCACCCTCCACCCTCCACCCTCCACCCTCCGCCCTCCACCCTCCACCCTCCACCCTCCACCCTCCACCCTCCACCCTCCACCCTCCACCCTCCACCCTCCACCCTCCACCCTCCACCCTCCACCCTCAACCCTAAACCCTAAACCCTAAACCCTAAACCCTAAACCCTAAACCTAAACCCTAAACCCTAAACCCTAAACCCTAAACCCTAAACCCTAAACCCTAAACCCTAAACCCTAAACCCTAAACCCTAAACCCTAAACCTAAACCCTAAACCCTAAACCCTAAACCCTAAACCCTAAACCCTAAACCCAGGCAGCAGCTCATCACGGGTTTTTCGGACCCCGAGTTCCAGGCCTGCGAAGACCTCACAGGGTCTAGGACCCTTCGGGCTTAGGATTCAGGGCCCTAAGCCCTAAACCCTAAATCCGAAGCTCTAAGGGTAGTTTCATGGTTATATAGGGGGTATAGAAAAAGGGGTTCCCTTTTAAGAGCCCATACTAAGGGACCATGTGACTACCCTAAGAGAAGTCTGGAGGACACCGAGGTTCCTGCAAAGCTCTCCCGCGTCTAGTTGCCCATTTACGTATTGGACTCGGACTTGCTCAGATTGGCTTGATACCCTAAACCCTAACCCCCAAATGCTGAACCCTAAACCCTAAACCCTAACCCTAAACCCTAAACCCCGAATGCTAAACCCTAAACCCTAAACCGCAGAGAATCACGAGGAGAATCTGAAGAAGCTGCAAGCCCAATATCCGGAGCGCAAGACGAAGGGCCACTACGACAGCTCGGCCTACTTCGAGGCGGGGGCCGGGAAGGGGAAACTTGCGGCCGCTCGCGCGCAGGGCTGGCAGGGCGGAGCCTCGGGCCCCGCAGTGTGCGGAAAAAGGAGGCCTCAGTCAGAAATGTTTTTGTTGGGGGGACTTCTCTTGGGGGCATTCTATTTCTTGTGCCGCAACCCTAAACCCTAAACCCTAAACCCTAAACCCTAAACCCTTGGGTTCTGGATTTCGGGGTTCGGGGGCCGGTCCCTGTTTCACACTGTGTCCTGCCTGCTTCTCAGGCCATCGGCCTTGGCCAAGGGGTCTGATGGTGCTCACTGTGGCACTCATAGAGGAGACTTCGCGCCGCTTTAGGGTTTAGGGTTTAGGGTTTTCTAAGTGTGTCACCCAGGCAGCCCTACAATCCTGTAAGATGTAGGCAAGCTTCGCTGATCTCTGCATTGTCAAGCGTCACATTTGTTTTGCTTGGCCCGGGCACTCTTCAGGGTGGAGCGTGCCTCCAGTTTAGCTTGAAGCTTGCACCCGTGCAAGCGGGGCGCCAACGTTTTGAGGTTGCCATTGGGCAGCCGGCTTCTTCCAGCTCCTCCTCTTGCGGCAGGAAGGTACAGGAAGGTTCTAGAAAGACAGGGAGGTAAGACCTGCCTATATTGTAATACCAACAGATTCCAATTCATCAAATCAGAGCCCCAATGATGCAACTAATCTCCGACCAAGTTCCCCCCCCCCTCGCAGTGCTGCCTGTGGACTGCGCTTTCCACTTCTTGTGGCTCAGGCGATGTGGAGACCAGATGTGCAGGAGGAAGTGTCTAGCGCCCATGTAGGCTTAGCACCTCCGGGGATGTGCTTTGGCTATCTGAATAAGACCTTGCTGCAGTGGACAGTTCGTGGCTTCGCTGCGTATATCATGTGCCCAAGCCTATGGGAAGCCTGCGCCTAGTGCCAGCGTGGCCAAAGATGGCAGCGCCCCCTCGCACCCAAGGGAACACACCGTGGACCCACCGTGTGCCGTTGTCAGGCTTCCCGGGCTTTATGGACCAAAGGTCGCTGAGCCAGGAATAGCTGGTCGTGCTCGACCGTGCTGCCTTGTCTTCAGTTACGATGGCTACTTTTTTTTGCATGAGGTCCCAAGTCAGTTCAAGTGAATACCAGCTAGGCAAGTGCACTTGGCATCTTCTTGACGCTTAGGGTGAGGGGTTCATAGGCCTTCGCAATGCTTGGGAATGGAGCCACACCATTCTGCAGCCGAAGTGCCTTGATCCTGTGAAGACAGGGTTCTGCTGATGCAGGTTCCGAGCGACCGCGCGACCGATTTGTGGTGGCTCCGCTGCCAAGCCGTTTCACCGAAGTTCATTCGTTGGTAACCCCCCTATATGTACAAAGGACTCCAAACCCCTTGGCGTGTCACTTTCCCTTACATTCCTTACTGGGATGTTCTCTACCAAGATTCCTAAACCCTAAACCCTAAACCATAAACCCTAAACCCTCCCAGAACCTAGACAACTCTTTGCTTCTGGGCAGGCCTTCAATGCGCTGGCCCATTCCGTTTACGCGAAGGTGCGAGCTGTCCTGGAGTATGAACTACCTTAATTAGGGTTTAGGTCTTGAGGCTTAGGGCTTAGGGCTTAGGGTTTAGGTCTTGAGGCTTAGGGATTAGGGCTTAGGGCTCAGGGCTCAGGGCGTAGGGCTTAGGGTGACAAAGCTAGGCAACTCACTTTCAGCTGCCCTTGCACAGTGCCTTGCGCAGGTTCTTCCGGACTGGAAGCTGGCTCCTACGTGGGATGGGGTGAGGGAAATGATCAACAAGATGTCGGATGCGCTGCTGCATCCGAAGGTGACGAGAGCACGCTTGCTACAAGACTATGGGGATGCTCAAGGGCGCGCTTGTTATGGGATGCTTTGCAGGATAAACCCTAAACCCTAAACCCTAAACCCTAAACCCTAAACCCTAAACCCTAAACCCTAAACCCTAAACCCTAAACCCTAAACGACAGGTCAAGAAGGTGCAGGAAGAGATCAACATTTTGATGGGACTGCCAGGGGCCCTGTCGCATCTTTTCTCCGAGTCCAGAATCGCTCAGGTTTGAGTTGCTTTGAGATGCCAACTGTGCCAAGGCCACGGAACGCCCACTTCGTGCCGCTGCCTGGCTAAATTGGTGGCCTTCTCCCCTTCATAACGATCATCAATCCGACCCGCACCAAAGGCCAAACTGAGCATCTTCCCCACTTCAGAATTTGCACGCCCCGCTACACAAGCTGCCGCATGTGCCGTATGCCCAAGGCCCTCCAAAGGATCGGAGCTGTTCCTCTACAGGCGGGGCAGACCACTGCCTGGCTATACCCTTGTAGACCTTGAAAGCCCGCCGCAGACTGTAATTCATTTTTTCGGGGGTAGTAGCTTCTTATCTTGGGTTACTAGGCGTTTAAGGGAGTTCAATGGCTTCAGACATTGCTGCGGGAGCGTTGCATGGCAGAGCAAGCCTCGAGTTCAGGTTGGGGGGGGGGAGGTTCGGGTTCGGAACCATAGCCGCACGGGCTCAGTTCAAGCCTCTGGTTCGTGAAGCTGCAGAGAATTCACGCGTTTCCCTTCAACAAACGTGTTGCCCTTGCTCGTGTTTTTTGTTGTACGGCAGATTCGGTCCTGTAGAGTTTAAACCCTAAACCCTAAACCCTAAACCCTAAACCCTAAACCCTAAACCCTTAGGGAATGGCTGCGTTGTGGTCAGGCCCGATGGCGATGCGCCAGTCCCAACATCTTCCTTGCCGTTGTTTCAGGCTCCGCCCCGCCGAGCATTGCTTGCTGCCAGCTCGTGCTTAGGGTTTAGGGTTCGGGTTTTTTTCCAAGGTTTAGGCTTTAGGGTTTAGTCCAAGGTTTAGGGTTTAGGCTTTAGGGTTTAGGGTTTAGGGTTTAGAGTTTAGGGTTTAGGGTTTAGGGTTTAGGGTTTAGGGCAGGTTAGGTTGTTAGCCGTGTGTGGCGACCGAGTGCCTAAAACTCACTGGAGCTCGCCTCCAGGACGAGGACGGTGATGAGGCACACGAGTTCCTGATTGAAGATCAGGACCATCTGAGGGTCCTAGGTAGCATAAGGGAGAACTCTTGAACAGGGACCTCATTGAGAGGGTCGATATCCCCAAGGTCCCCCTAATCCTATTCCCTAGAGAAGGAAGGTGGTAGCTGCTTCACCCTAAACCCGAAGACCCTTGAACCCCGCATATCCCCAAGCCCATGATCCCTTAAATCCCTCCCCCCCCCCCCCCCCCCCCCCCAAAAAAAAAAAAAAAAAAAAACACTGGGCTCTTGCCCGAGCCCTGACTGCTCAGTGCCGGGCACATATTTGCGGTTTCAAGATACTCGTAGTAGACAAAAGATAACGTACTCATGGCCCAGCCTGCAGGAAACTGGCGAGCTGAAGGTACAAGGAACGTCCAGTCTGAAGCAGGACCTGGAGTGACTTCAAGGTACATTGATGAATCGCGAAAATCACGGTGCATGAGTGCTTCACACCGACATGCATGCACTCAATCCCAGCATACAGCTAGCGCGAGCAGAGGTGAAAGAGCCGCAAGAATGCCTTGGACCGTAGCGTGATCATCGTATAGCTTGCGTTGCTTCGAGGAGATGTGGTACGTTGTGGTACACAAGCCTGCGGTCATGATTCGGGAGCAGCCCGACGAAAAGGCCTGAAGTGTGTCGCTGGCAGGATGAAGGGTTCTGTGTCCTAGGTAGGATAAGGGGGACCCTCAAAAGAGAACCCTTCTTAACCCTCTTCTGGCTGACTTAAACAGGGACCTTATTCAGAGGGTCTATTACCCCAAGGGTCCCCCTCATCCTATCCCCTACTGTGGAAAACCTTGGGCTTGGATGGCCTCGGAGCCATCGTGCCAGGCCAAGATGGTTGGCCGCAAGAAGGCTGGACATGTGTGGTGCGAGAACTGTGCGCAACATACCAGAAAGTGCAGGAGGTGGCATGTTGTGCGCATGAGGGCCCTGTCAGTCGTTGGGGCCCCTACTCAGAACACCAATATGGTGAGTTCTCAAAATCATGGTCCTTTTTGGTTACCCAACATCTTTAGGCGCCGTATAACAGTAACCCCAAAAGGGACCATATTGTAGAGAAGTGGCCATCTGTATGCAAATATGTGTATATACAACATACTATTTACATATACAATATATAATGATATAATATTATACGATATTATATAATATGATATTATATTATAGTATATTATATTTACATGCCTGAAGTGTTCTTTAACTTTGCAATTGGAGACCTTATTTGTGGCAGGACTGTCCTCGGCCTCCAGGGTTCCCAATCTCCCGAGTACTTTGCACCCAGCGGCTCCAGAGTTGAAAGTTAGGGTTTAGGGTTTAGGGTTTAGGGTTGAGGGTTTAGGGTTTAGGGTTTCGGGCAAGGTTGGGGTTTAGGGCAAAGCCACGGCTCGCGTTGAGTGCCAAAGCCTCTCATCAGGCTGGTAAGAGACTGAAGGTGCAGCACGTCAAGGCCAGGGTGTGAGAAAGACCAAAGAGGTTTAGGATTTAGGGTTTAGGGTTTAGGGTTTAGAATTTACAGGTTTAGGGTTTATGGGGTTTAGGGTTTAGAGGGCTTTAGGGTTTAGGACTTGGTGCTTAGGGCTGAGATATTCTGCGATGCGCTTTGATCGAAACTGTTGCCGCTGCGAAGGAACTGAAGCGCGGACCTCGCAACGATGTCAATGTGCAAAGCTACAAATTTGGCTGTACAAAATTTTAAGAGACTGATGCACTACGATGCGCGTTTGGGCTGTTCAACCCTCACCCCTAAACCCTATACCCTATACCCTATACCCTATAAACCCTACACCCTAAACCGTTCGAATTAAGCTTCCGGTGGTGTCTGCGGCCATGGCAGGACGGTAAGTGGCTGCAGCTGCACAACTCCGAGCTCGTGAAGCTCGGAGTCCAGGAGGCCATTTTGTCACTTCCGGGTTTAGGGTTTAGGGTTTTAGGGTTTTAGGGTTTAGGGTTTAGGGTTTAGGGTTTAGGGTTTAGGGTTTAGGGTTTAGGGTTTAGGGTTTAGGGTTTAGGGTTTAGACCCGGCGTCCCTTCCTTGCCCTCCCAACGCTCTGCGTTCCGAAGGCCTGGGTTCTGCTGGACCCGGTCGAAGCTGGGTTGCCTCCCGGCCAACCTCTGCCCCTTGGGCCACAAGCAGCTGGATCTTACTGTAGGGTTTAGGGTTTAGGGTTTAGGGTTTAGGGTTTAGGGTTTAGGGTTTAGGGTTTGGGGTTTGGGGTTTAGGGTTTAGGGTTTAGGGTTTAGGTTATCAACGGACTAAAGGAGGGGCTATTCAATCTTTAGGGACTATATAAGGTGTATGTATATATATACATATATATATATATATGTAGGTTATATAGGGGGTATATATAGGGGTCACAACTAACTGGTTCTTAGGAATGAGGTACCCTTATGTCCCTGCATATCATCTTCAAAGGATTATGTAGGGTGCCTAATTTCCCCCTTCCCTACTAAGAACCAGGGGAACAAAAGGAATTGGCAGCCCAATGGACTTCAGGTTCCCTTATAAAGCAACCACCCCCAGAAAGGGCTTATGATGATATGGTCCCTGGGCTTCCAAGGAAAGGCAAGCGGTCCACTGTTCAATATTCGCGTTCGGGGCACATCAGGGTGGTTTAGGGTTTAGGGTTTAGGGTTGAGGGTTGAGGGTTGAGGGTTTAGGGTTTAGGGCTTAGGGTTTAGGGTTTAGGGTTTAGGGTCTCTCTCTCTCTCTCTCTCTCTTTCTCTGTTGCCCAGGTTAGAGAAAGTGGCAGCATGAGTGCGGCTGTCGAAAGCTCTTGCTCGAGCATGCCTGCGTCTCATCTACGTGTAGATCACTTGCGTCGGGCTCACAATCAGCCATAAGAGGAGACCTAGAGGAAATGTCAGAAATCGGCCCTCGGCGCCAGTGTTCTTAGAGAGCCTCTAGGCCTGAGCATAGCAGGTGCCTTGCTGAAAGAGTATCTTGCTTCGATGGAGACCAGGAATTGGCACAAGTCTTGGGGCGCCTGCTTTCTGCTGGCTACTTTCATACAAGGTAGCACCAAAGTATGCTCGCCCAAAAAAGGCATCCCGGAGATGCGGCAACAGAAGGACTTGCGGAAGTGCGCAGTTTTTTGGCACCCGATTCTCAGATACCATCTAGTGGCTCCAGGGTGTTGTGAAACCAGCTCGGCAGGTTGAGGACCATGTTGGCCATCTGGAAGTCCAAAACATCCAGAAAGCTCGCCGTCCTTTTCGCAAGCAAGGGGCTGTGGCAGCGTCCGTACTTCGTCGCTGGCTCGAGAATCTCAATGCTACAATACCAATTAGCATGAGTTGAATTGAGGGTTATCGATGTTGCATTCTGGTCTCGCGTCTCGATCAGGTGTTTGATCCTAGGTCTCATGCATGTTGCCTTTGGCAATTTTGGGGACACATGTCATTCGAGCAGTGTGGCAGCCAACCCGAGCGCGCCATGGCCTGGTGAGTCCTCGAGCGCAGCACTCATGTGCGTTGTGCACGCCGTCTGGTTCCAGGCTTAGTTGCAAGTTAAACGGTTTGCTGCTGCTTTACACTCAACATTCTGCGGTCGGTGAGCACGCAGAATGAATCTGAGGCTCGTTCTTCTGCTCGCGCGATGCAGCGGAGAGGAGGGGAGGGCGGGCATGTGAGCTAGGAAGCCTGCCCAATCTGATTTAAAGCGCAGCCCTAAACCCTAAACCCTAGACCCTAAACCCCGAACCCCTAGAACCCTTAAACCCTCAACCCTCAACCCTCAACCCTCAACCCTAAACCCTAAACCCTAAACCCTTCCTCTCCAAACCTGACACCAGGAGATGTGCGACTCGCCCAGGCCCGGGGATGCCACGCGACAACGATGCCCTTTGGCTGCAGAATTGTGGACCTACTTGGAGGTCAGGGTTTAGGGTTAGGGTTTAGGGTTTAGGGTTTGGGGTTCGGGTTTTGGGGTTTAGGGTTTAGGGAGTAGGGTTATAAGTAGGGTAACTATCATAGCACCGGGTCTATTTCGCTGACGAGGACCGTGGCGCCGTAAGGGTGGTCAAAAGCCTGCATGTTTTGCTTACTGCCCCAGCCTGCTACAGACGCACTGAAGTCCATCGCAGCACTGCATGCTGCCTGGTACCAGTAGTGCCTGGTAGTCATGTGAAGTAGGGTTTATATTTCTGTTCTTGGTGAGCGTATATTAGGTTCCTTTTTAATATTGGTGAGTGTATATATGTGGTGTCCTTTTGGGGATACAAGAAATAAAATCCCTATGTGAATACTCAGCAAAGCTGGCCCTGAGAAGTCCGATGGACTGCTCAAGGAGAGAAGATGGGCTTCGAGGTCACTAAGGTCCACTAAGTTCCTGTGATGTCCTTGCCACTAGTTAGGCCGCAACAAGCTGCCAACAAGCCCTAAACCCTAAACCCTAGACCCTAAACCCTAAGCAGTCTGAGAGCTGTCAACAAAGGCGACCGCAGCTGCACAGAACTGCTCGGCTTTCTGCGCATGCGTGCAGATTTCGAGGTCGAGGGCGTGGTGACCGCATCATTGTGTGAAGAGTCCTCAGGCTGCTAAATGATCTCTGTCGCATCGACGACCCAGTCGAGAATTCATGTCACGCGTTTCAAAGGGAGTTCATCCTAGTTCGTGAGATTCAAGGATTCCCGGAGCTCAGCACTAGTCTAGCCTGCAAGCTCAAACCGCTTGACAGGACCTAAACCCTAAACCCTAAACCCTAAACCCTAAACCCTAAACCCTAAACCCTAAACCCTAAACCCTAAACCCTAAACCCTAAACCCTAAACCCTGGCAGGCTATCGATGTCAAGGTGCTGCGTGCTGCAAATGAGATGAACAGCCGCTTGGCTCAAATGTTGGATGGATGCTGGGGGGTCGGCATGAACGCCGACGTGGCTAAACCCTAAACCCATAAACCCTAAACCCTAAACCCTAAACCCTAAACCCTAAACCTTTAGGATGGTCTAGTTTGGTCTGGGGACAAGTTGAGGACAAGTTGAGGGTGGTTAATAAACTCACGATGAACCAGCAAGAGAGCTGTACAGCTGAGGCTGGTTCTGGTGCCCAGCGGCTTATCGCAACTCAGCTGCATCACTTTTCGAGAATGCTGCCCAGCTTGGCCCACACTGCAGATAAAGCAAGCAGGTTCCGAGTGCATCGAAGTGCTGATGGCATTAGTTAGACTTGAGAGTATCATCATTCGTCTGAGTGACACCCCCCAATCGATGTGGAATGCTGATACTCTCACGCGAGAGGGGGGGGGGTTGTCACCTGATCCTATCAACGCTACCAATTCACGGGCGGTTCGGAGTGCCGATGCGCGGCCGAATAACACACACCTGTGCTTGTATTTTACACTCGGAGTATGTTGGAGGCTACACCCAAGCAGCTGTAAGTGCTCCAAGGAAGCTTGCTGTTCTCGCAGCTGACAAGCGAGATCAAGAAACTTCCGCACCCCGGCTGAAGCAGCCAGACAGGCTTGCGAAGGCCCCTCCCATCCAGCAATACCCTCTTGGTGGACTTGGCCCAGGAAAGGCCTTCGTTTGTCCAGCTACGAGATACACCGGTAAGGTACTGGGTGGTAGCTTTGTCTCACGTGGCCTGGTAGAAAGAACTGTCCACATTGGTGAATCGCACTTAAGGCAGCCACATCGAACCTTGAGAGGTTACTGTTTGATATTCATTGTGGGAGCGTCCACATTGGGGAACCACACCTTGGGCGGTTTGCCCAGCCGTGCGTCAAAGATGAACGCTCGATACGACGCGTACCCGGGTGTGTTCGGGCAACCGGGCGTTCGGGCGTGTGCGTCGACGGGTGTTCGAGTAAACTTTACGTACAAATGAAAACAAGCAGAAAGAGGCGTTCTTCTTGGCGATTTGCTGCTAAGAAGCCCTCCACATAGTTATAACAACTGTCTAAAGCATCAGCGTCCTCCAGGTATCGTGAGTTTTGAGCCCTTGCGCGTTGGCACCGACGTACAGCGTCCGCATTCTCTACGGGAGTTAAACACACTCCTTGTACATCTAAACACGGTTTCTATCACTGTTATGGGAGACTGTCTCCATGGTTCCTTCGAAAAGACGGCAAGCGCACGTGGGGTGTCTTTTTGGGGGAAGACGAGGAATACAAAACCCACTGCATGAATGCCAGGTCACGTGATTTTCGGAATCGGGTCCTGCCCTGAAGTAGCCTCGTGACTGGACAACCTCAAGCACCCTAAACCCTAAACTCTAAACCCTAAACCCTAAACCGGAATGACTGGGTCCCAGGAGTCGAAAGTGATGTTGGACCCCTTGAGCGCTGGTGGCCCCCTCTAAAGAGTCTCGCTGCCGAGGGAGAGGCTCCTTCTAAGACCAGAGAGGGTGGGGGGGAGTCCGTTTAAACAGGTCCCACATGGCCTTCCTGTCCAAAGGTATTGCACTACAGCGGGGCCATCAACATCCGTCAGCCCACATTTTGCGATTGAAGTCTTGATTGGATTTGAGGCATGACGAAAGTGGGCGCCACCACGTCTCCCAGGCAATCCTTGTCGCGGAGGCACTCCGCGATCACCCTTAGCTCCAAGAATCTCCAAAACCTTTGTCTTTCCAGATTTCGGTTTGCTGCAGTCCCCCCTGCATCGGGCTTGCAAAAATGCCTGGTGAACTTCCGGTAGGTCTGCCTTCCGAAAGGAACGGAACGTTGTAACTAGCTTAATTGGCTAATTGCTGCGGCAGGGTTTGTGGCGGGCTCAGGACTGCTCCCTGCGCAAAAAGCTGTCACACTGTGATACCCTACAGCGCTTTGTAAACGAACTGCGTAGACTACTAATTGCTTTAGAGAACCCCCCCCAAACAATATTCTTTCTTATAGGGGCAATTTAGGGATTTGTTTTTCCATCTTCTAAGGGTTCTTAAGCAAGTAGTAATAGAGCACAGGCGCGCTTGCCACTTGCACCGTTCTTACGCAGGTTTACGTATGTTTCCTTGACCATTGTCTCGTTGTGCGCATGCTTTTCAACCTTTGCTATCCCACTGCTCTTTGGTCCTGCTTAGTGCATATCCCACGGAGGCAGCCGCGCAAGAGCTGGTGTTGAAGAACATATCAGGCACCAGCATCCAGGTTAGCATTCTGTGCTCACAGGACATCACATTCGAGACTCGACAACGACAGTTGCTGAATACTTCACCCTGCGGCATGCTCACCAGGGCCACCAGGGCCTGCCCCCCCTTGAATTTTCATCATGACGTGTGCCCGCTTGGCCACCCGCTAGATGGCCACCCCCCAAACCCTAAACCCTAAACCTTAAAACCCCAAACCCCAAACCCTAAACCCAAACCCTAAACCTTAAAACCCCAAACTACAAACCCCAAACCCTAAACCCCAAACTCTAAACCCTAAACCCTAAACCCTAAACCCTAAACCCTAAACCCTAAACCCTAAACCCGTGGCAGGCATCCTTGCCAGAAGCAGCTCCTTCGCCCCCTGGTTCCACTTTGGGTCGCCGCTTGGTTTAGGAGGGCTTCAGGAAGTTTCCCAATGGACTCTTCTTGCACAAACGCATCCCTAACCCTAAACCCTAAACCCTAAACCCTAAACCCCAAACCCCAAACCCTAAACCCTAAACCCTAAACCCTGAACCCTGAACAGCTGTGGTGCCTCCAGACATGTGGGGCCCGGGTTTTCTCTGCAGGCATAAAGTCGAGCAGCCTGGCTGATTTGTTGCCAAGGTGGTTTAGGACGAGGAAGCCTCGCGCTGGCCCCAATTTGTGCTTGGTTTTAGGACCCGGCCATGCGCTCAAACCCTAAACTCTAAACCCTAAACCCTAAACCCTAAACCCTAAACCCTAAACCCTAAACCCTAAACCCTAAACCCTAAACCCTAAACCCTAAACCCTAAACCCTAAACCCTAAACCCTAAACCCTAAACCCAAACCCTAAACCCTAAACCCTAAACCCTGGCAAGCCGAGGCTTTTCCATGCTGTGAGAGTGCCTTGGCAGGAGTATGTACACTGGGAGCCGCGGTGCGTTCTGTTTGAGACGCGATCACCAAACCCTGAACCCTGAACCCTAAACCCTTTCGGTGTTCAGCCATGTCGGGGGACTGAAGCAAGAAGGAGATCTGAGATCGTTCTCCTGCGTGCAGTTAGGTCTGTTTTCGGGCTTGCGGGTTGAAGGAGGGATCCAACCGGATATTCTGCTCCTTGCAAGTGAACTTAGGCTATAACATGCTACAGGTTGGACTTCCGATCAGGTTGGCTTGAGCATGATGGTCAAAAAAGGTGAAGAGAGTGAAGATTGGGGTGCATGACTTCTTGATTTCACAGAGGGCATTTCCTACTGTGATGTCATATGTGTGGGAATCCTACTGGCGTTCTTCAGGTCTGAACCTCTCCATGCCCTCATCCCACAGGCAATGTTTCCAGAGTTTCTGGTGCTGCGGGGATCTGCAACGAGACAGTCCTCTCCAGCAGGATTCTGGCAGCAAGATGATTGTAAGGTTGTTGTTGTTGCTGCTGAAGTTTCCTTGGGAGTGCACACTTATTGACGCGACATTGCATGTTGCTCGCAACTCTGCGTGTTGCATGATGGATAAACGGGTTCCATATGGCGTTCGGGAAGTTCCACTCAGTGTTGGCACTTCTCACAGCGCCAGATGCCAACAGTCGCCCATTCTCAACCCACTTTGGAACGGACGGCAAACCTGAACCCTCCAATCACTCCAAGCCCTGAACCCGGAACCCTAGACCCTAAACCCTACTTCCTGAAGCCCAGGGCGTGCCCTGCGGGAAGCTTTGAGCCAACACCTGGGCTCGGATTCGCCGGCTCTGGGGCCCATGCAGGTGCTGGCCAAGCAGTGGCCAGGTGGGGCTGAGGGTTTAGGCTTTAGGGTTTAGGCTTTAGGGTTTAGGGTTTAAAGTTCAGTGTTCAGGGTTCAGGGTTTGGACACAGAGCCGGAGCATGAAGGGTTTAGGGAGATAGCGAGAGAGAGAAAGAGACGTTGGACTTTGCGTTCCTTGTGTTGCAAAAACTGCGGTGTGAACCTTGGAGCTCACCCTGAGATTGAAGGCCCAACCACTTCAGGAGTTCCTTGACATACGGGTCTTGCTTGCGGCTGGCTGCTCCTGCAACGCAAAACTTAAACTCGTGTGAATCAAACAGGTATAAGCTTTGTCATTCTCCAACTGCTGCCAGCAAGCAGCAGTAGGTAGACGGGAAGATTTGTTTGTCAGCTGGACAGGGCACGCCTTCTCCAGCCTGGAACGAGCTGCCCTCCGCTTTGCTGAAGCAGAGACCTGGACTTCTAAACCCTACACCCTAAACCCTAAACCCTAATTAAACCCTAAACCCTAAACCCTAAACCCTAAACCCTAAACCTTTTCATGTCGTACATAGGAGGCCCAGGAGATCCATGAAGGGGTCCCGCAGTTCACGACTCCATAGAAGGCAATGAAGGGGGGTCTATGGGCTGTGTGGGAGGTTGGTGGAATCCCAGTGCTATCGGCTTTCATCGCTTCGGAGCAGTCTATGGAGGCGTTGGCAGAAGGAAAGAGCGGGGGCTATGGGGCTCCAGGGTCCAGTGTAGAGGGGTTCTGAGCCAAACCTTCACAAACCTTCACAACTGAGAGCGGGCCTAGGCCCTTAGCACAAACCTGACATGGCCACCCCAGGCATGCATGCGGAGAGAGTTCCTAGGAAGTCCGCACAGTATCCATAGGAGGCACGTCTCAGGACGCCACAAACTGAGGCCCTAGGGTGTCCCGTGCACCATAGCATGTTAAAGAGGGGGTCCATAGCAAATTCGGAGGCTTCCTCCGCTGAACCCTAAACCCCATCTAGGAGAGCACCATGGGCGAAGACCAAGCTCGTTTTAGAAGGTCCACAGTCCGTTCAAGGTCCATATTGGTGTTTCCATGTGTTTCCGAAAACCCTTTTTGGCGGTTCCTGTGGTAAGGATCATAGTATTTTGGGGTCGATGAGCGGTACCCCCTGTTTTGGGAAATGCCCATAGGAGTATAGGGGTAGACGCTACTTTGCTGGCTGGATCCTGCTCGTATCCCTGTAGCATGGCAAGCACGGCAACGGCCTAGTTGGAGGAGTCCTTTCACACAAAGCCCTGCACTAGAGCTTCTGAAGTGAACTTCGCTGAGTGAAAGTCGAACCTCGCTGTGTGACAGTCATTCCGGTTCCTGAAAGCACTTGTACTACTACAAACTGTTCTCTTCGGCCCTCCATGCAATCTCCGCCAGTTAGTAAATGCGCAATACTGGTGGGAAGGCTGGTGACGCTTTCCACCCTCAATGTATCATCAATTACCTTCATGGATCTTCAGCAACAGTACCCTTTTGCATCATCGGCTATTACGGTCCTAAGCAATAAAACACTAAACCCTAAACCCTAAACCCTAAGCCCTAAGCCCTAAACCCCAAACCCCAAACCCTAAACCCTAAACCCTAAACCCTAAACCCTAAACCCTAAACCCTGTCTCCGTACGCCTTGGGGAAGATGTTGCACTCAGGACTTCTTGCGGACCACCAGCGCCCCTGGCATCCTAGGGCTCGGAGGCAGCCCGAGTGCAGCCCGCGAGGAGCCTCGGGGGCGAGACAGCTCCCGGGTTTAGGGTTTAGGGTTTAGGGTTTAGGGTTTAGGGTTTAGGGTTTAGGGTTTAGGGTTTTAGGGTTTAGGGTTTAGGGTTTAGGGTTTAGGGTTTAGGGGTTTAGGGTTTTAGGGTTTTAGGGTTTTAGGGTTTTAGGGTTTTAGGGTTTTAGGGTTTTAGGGTTTTAGGGTTTTAGGGTTTTAGGGTTTTAGGATAATTAGTTACCTCCAAGTCGTCAAAGCAACAACGGGGGCCCCGCGCTTTTGCGTGTCAGTCTGCCATTTGCCCGACAGCAATGTTTCGGCCTGGCCTAAACCCTAAACCCTAACCCAAAAACCCGGCCTAGGAGATGGAGCAGCTGCTGCACACGGGGCAGCGTTTCCTGATGCAGGCTTATCGGCAGACGAAGGTGCTACGCGACTTTGCTTTGCCCATGTACTCAAGAGCGTGCCTTCTCTGAGAGAGCCATGTGTTGCAGGCATCTGCTGGCACATCGGGACTGACCGACATGCAGCTGGCTTCAGAAAGTCACGGTTGTTGCGGAATTGTTGAGGGTGTTCAGAGCCACACTCGGCCGCCCTAGCTTGCCACGACTTCCTCGGCATATGCTCACCCTCCCCCCCTCAAAACCCCAAATCCTACTGTAAGCCCTAAACCCAAGCATCAATGCCTTGCTTAACGTTCGTTTCCCCGGGCAGGTTCGCCATGAGGGGCTGATCTGCTCCCGTAGCTATCGAAGTTTCCTAGGTAGGATAGGGAGGACCCTTAAAAGGGACCCCTTCTTAGCCCTCTTCTGGATCCCGACCTTATTCAGAGGGTCTATATCCCCCCACAATGCCCCTAATCCTATCCTCTAAAGTTGAGAGGGCCACAGTTTACAAGAGCATCTCGGGTCTGCAAGGGCTCTCGGTCCATCCGAAGAGGAACAACAAACATAGTAATCATGACAGTAGTAGCAATAGTAGTAGTAGTAGTAGTAGTAGTAGTAGTAGTAGTAGTAGTAGTAGTAGTAGTAGTAGTAGTAGTAGTAGTAGTACAAATAGCCAGTACTGCTTATCATAGCAAAATAGTAGTAATGGTAATCGTACAAAAATGATATCAGTAGGAGTGGAGCCTGGGATCGAGCCACAGCCGTTTGGAAAACATGCCAGTGCGATCACAGTGCGATCCCAGGTACGGGCTCTTCACTCTCATGGGACAAGCGGAGGCACTGGCCTTCATGATAGAATAGCAGGGTTTCTTGAGCGTCGGCCGAATTTCAGATTCCTGTCTTCGAGCTCCTGGACCGTCTGGACAGCAACGTGCTCGAGGAAATCTACCTTCCGGACTGTTGGCCTTTCGGCTTTGAGGTCTTCTGAAGGGCATTCCTGGCACATGCCTGAGAATACCGTGCATAGGGTTTAGGGTTTAGGGTTTAGGGTTTAGGGTTTAGGGTTTAGGGAGCTACATCAGCTGCAGGGATGAGAACGAGAAGCCTGAGATACCTTCTGGGGACCGATGCATGCAGCGTAGGGCATGTTGCACACGAGTCCCTGGGTCAGGATTCTGTGACCCACAGCGTCTCTCCGTTCTATGTGCACCTGCTCCCAACGCGGAACGTCGAGTCAAATCACGTGCGCACATTCTTCGAGCTGCACTGTGCAGCTTGGCAGGGTTGAGGGTTTAGGGTTTAGGGTTTAGGGTTTAGGGTTTAGGCTTTAGGCTTTAGGGTTTAGGCTTTAGGGTTTAGGCTTTAGGGTTTAGGGTAGCTTTGATGATCCCCTAAGAAAGAGCGTGCAGAGACCGGCGTTGGGAGCTGTTGGTGCAGTCCGAGGATAAGGTTTTCAAGGACCTTGTGACAGAGCATCGAAGCCTTGTGCGCCCTCTGACTGTGGTGGAGAGCCCTGGCATCCAAGTTGGGTTGAGGGTTTAGGGTTTAGGGTTTAGGGTTTAGGGTTTAGGGTTTAGGGTTTAGGGTTTAGGGTTTAGGGTTTAGGGTTTAGGGTGTTCACTTTCCTTGCACTGCATGTGCATAAAAGGCAGATCCTGCCTCGCTGCCTTAGCCTTAGACTTATTTGGGAGTCTCCGAAAAATAAGGGACCCCAAGTCTACACCCCCAAATAATCAGTAGGATTTCCTTATACTTAGTAGTAGAGTAGCCAACCTTTAACCTTTTTGGGTTAATATATTCCCCTTATATTCCCAAAGGTTAACCTTTAAAACCCCTAGGTACTGGACAACTGAGTATAAGGACCCAAATACGGTACCCCGAAATTCCGTAAAACCGCCATTTCGCTGGCCTGCAGAGTGCTGGCAAGGATCGGAAGCCACCTGGGAGGCCGGTCGCGCAGACGTCTTGTGAGTGCGCATAGGGTTTAGGGTTTGGGGTTTAGGGTTTGGGGGTTGGGGTTTAGGGTTTAGGGTTTGGGGTTTAGGGTTTGGGGGTTGGGGTTTAGGGTTTAGGGTTTCGGGTTTGGGGTTTGGGGTTTGGGGTGTAGGAGTTAGGGTTTGGGACGGAGCGGCCCGCAGCTGACTAGTCAGCCGCCGAAAGGCTGTATCCTCTGGGCCCTCACGCACCTGCCCGAAGAGCCTGGTCCTCAGTCGAAGCATCTGGCCTAAACCCTAAACCCTAAACCCTAAACCCTAAACCCTAAACCCTAAACCCTAAACCCTAAACCCTAAACCCTAAACCCTAAACCCTAAACCCTAAACCCTAAACCCTAAACCCTAAACCCTAAACCCTAAACCCCCAAACCCTAAACCCTAAACCCTAAACCCTAAACCCTAAACCCTAAACCCTAAACCCTAAACCCTAAACCCTAAACCCTAAACCCTAAACCCTAAACCCTAACCCTAAACCCTAAACCCCAACCCCCAAACCCTAAACCCCAAACTGCCCTAAACCCAGCTGGGAGGACTCGTGGCCTCGCCGTCGATGCCTATGCCCCGGCTGTCGCTGCCCTGCGGCGCACGGTGGAGCAGAACCGTTTAGCGGAATCTCGGTGCACTGGTTTAGGGTTTACTGGCAAGCTTGTCACCAAGGATGTCTTAGGCTGCTGAGTGATGCTTATTTTTACATCCTTTTGCAACGTATCTCTCAGGACCGGCTGGCAGTTCTCGAAAGGTTCGTGTGCAAGGGCGACCGCACCTCGGCAGGCAGTTGAGCTGAGTATTGTTGAGTCATTGAGGCTGCCATCCGGCTTTCGTTGTATTGTCGACTCCAGACGTGACAACTCAGCAGCACCAGTGGCTGCAGTAGACTCAGGGAAGTTTGCCGCGACGCTGCGTCAGACTGGGAAGCACCTGGCAACTGGTCTTGGTCTGGCTAAGACGGATGTTTCTGTTCAGTTTTGCCAGGCGCTTGACGTCCCGTAGCCCATGGCTTACCAATCTGGCTACTTGAGCAAAGGTTCAGCCAGCATGGGGGGAGGTCAGCGATGGCGAAGCTGCTAAGTTGCAAAAAGTCGAGGGTGTTGCTCATGAGCCTGGGCGGGTTTCCGTTCTTGCACAGCCTCATAGTGCAGACTTTCTTCATGACGGCAAGTCCTTTCATATTCTGAGATTTTCTGAGATGCTCTTTCATTTAGATCAAGCCTGCGAGTCCCGATAGAACTGTCGACTGTGTAGCACAAAGGTGACGACCTCTCCTGCCCATCAAGTGGAGCCTTGTTTGCACCGCATGGATACGCCTGCATGCGAATGCACGCATGGATGGTAATGACGCATGTATGCATTTAACAGTGTATAGACTTGAGTTGGGAGGGCGGAGGTGGGCGGGCAGCCAACAGTGGCGGCCAATCACCAGCCAATAATTCGGGATTAACGGGGCGTGATTGTGTTTGGACTCACTGACTCGCGCTCCCGCCGGCGGACGTCTTCCTCCTTGAGTATTGACGGGCAGTACGTTTGAGTTATCCAGGTTGGTATTCTGGTATTCGTCGTGTGTCAGTCTCATTGTATGGGTGCCCGTGTATTGGAATTGCAATAGTAGTGATTAGTGGTAATGTAACGTAGCGAAATTGACATTTTCTGCTGTAGCAAGCTAGGATGCATGATGTAACACACACTGAGTATGGGCACATTGTCTTCACACAGATACACCTTGAAGCATACACATGCATTCATACAAAATCATACAGACGTGCTGCAGTTGCACATGAATGCATACATGTACCTGTACGTGCATAAACGCATGTGTCCATACGAATATACTCTCAATGACAGGTATCTGGAAATCCACATTTCCATGCGCTCATTTATGTAAACGCATGTCGGCATCCGTCCGCACGTGTGTCCGACGTGCACATGTTACCAGAGAAGGCTTCGCGATTAGCACGGGTAATACATCTTCACTTAATGCCACTTGTGACCCGGTCAAGGGGTTGGAACAGGATCATGGGCTAGAAGTACGCATCAATCCTGAGACCTAGAAAGCCCGCAAACCCCACATCCCTAAACTGCCAAGGAATGTGTGAGTCTTCAGGCTGTCCTGGAAGAGATGCACGTTGACCAGGCAGGAGTCCACTTTATAAGGCAACAGGCAAAAACCTGATAGGGGCCACGAACCCGAATGCAGACACGAGATTCGACATGAAGTGTCTCATCCATCGCTCTTCCTCTCTTTCTCTCTCTCTTTCTCTCTCTCTTTCTCTCTCTCTTTCTCTCTCTCTTTCTCTCTCTCTTTCTCTCTCTCTTTCTCTCTCTCTCTCTCTCTTTCTCTCTCTCTCTCTCTCTCTCTTTCTCTTTTCCTTTCGATTTCTCTTTATCCTTTGCGCTTTTGAGGCGCCAATACCTTACCAAGGTCCAAAAGCGACGCGTCAGTTACGGGGATGGCGTGCCCCAAATGCTTCATCCTCGTGGCTGTCTTAGCATTTGAGGCCTCAACATCAAGCCAAGCTTCAAAGTTGGGATGTTCCCCCTTATACTAACAGTCCTTAATTGAGAGTATAATTGGGGGGGGGGGGGTGCTATAATCACCATTAAGGGCTGCTAGTATCAAGGGGAACATCCCGACTTCAAAGTTACAACGAGGTTCCAGAAGTGAGTACAGTTCCGAGGACGAGGATGGCTCACCTGAAGCGGACAGCGGACCTGAGGGCCCTCATCCTCGTAGCTGCCAGCTCTCTTATACAGGGTGGGGCCCCCTAGTTATAAGTAGAGTTATAAGGGCCCTAAATTGGGTTATAAGGACCCTAAGTTAGGTTATAAGTCCCTTAACTACAGTTAGTATAGTAAGGGGGCCCCACCCTGTATAAGACATACAAAGCAAAAAACGATGCTAGAACGCTGGGCTCACCGGAACGACAGCTGATGTCCGCCATTCGCGGACGCTTTCGAACACTTTCCTACGCTTTAACCCTAAACCCTAAACTCTAAACCCTAAACCCTAAACCCTAAACCCTAAACCCTATACGGGGGCAACCGAAAGGGAGAGGAAACCAACCCCAACAGTCGCCAAAGATTTCACCCTGAACCAACCAGCAAACAACAGGAACTCAAAAACTTCTTTTTGCTACCAGGCGCATGGCCCAGTCTTGAGCCATGAAGATCAACAGGTACATTGACCCTTCAACTTTCAACACCAACTCCTTTCTACAATACCAACTGCAGCTCCGCACTCCCCCTGTCCTAGGATTTCCTAGGACACATTGGAGGTGCAGATCTTTGGCCAAAAACTGCCATTAGGGCAGCAGCCAGCTGCCTGAAATGCACATTATGGTTTTACGTCATCCAGGACGAATTTATAGCACATTGGCTAAACCCATTAACCACAGAGAATCTTTTTTTTTTCACCATGATCCTCTTGTCATTGAAGACTCTTCGGTCTTCTTCACCACGAACCGTGGTCTTCGTAACGCAAAAAGCTACTGACTTCTACTATCAGGGATTTCCATACCCTTAATAGTACCCACCGTATTTTCAGCGCATTGGCTGATCCAGCACACCTGTCTTCAGAAAGAGAAAAACCATTCCTTCATCCATACCATCCAGTCACTTCTTCTTCCGATGGGTATCGATGCTGAGGTGAAGTCGCAGCAGAACATACCCTAGGTCCGACACTGTAAGAACAGGATCCTGCACGCACCTTTGAATTGAGGATACCAATCCCTCTCTCTTCGCGTCCTCAATCGCTTGGCAAGATTGACCCAGCTCTGCACCCACAGCGGTAGACGCTTGCGCATCCACATCAGAGGAACGATCCTTTTCCTCAGGACCTTTCACCACTACCACCTCTTCCTTCTTGGGGCTTGGACTTTTCTCCTTCTTCTTCGTCTTTCCCACGACGCTTGACTTTGTGCGCATTCTCGAAGAGGCCTTCTCCCCTGCAGAAACCACCGCATTGGATGATGATCCACCCTTCTCAATGATCGCCGGCATCTTCTTCGGCTTTGGAACCATGAGAGTATAAGGATCCTCGCAAGCTGCAGTTTTCCTCTTCTTTTTGACCTTTTTCACCTCTTCCTCAACGGCAACATCCGTCTCCGAAGTTTCAACCACCTCCTTTTCGGCAGGAATATCCTTGCTGGACTCCCTTTCTAGGGACCTCTTTTTTCCCCTTTTGGGATCTCTGTCTTCTTCAACGTTGGCTCGCTCAAACCATATCCTCAGGTCATTGACCCATTCTTCCACCTCCGCCAGCGAAACTTCATACGACTTCACTATTTCGTGAAGTTCCAGTGTAGACAACATACCAGTGGTCCATGAGCACCATTCTCTATCCATCAGTTCAGCGTCTCCCTTGAACTTCAGGAGTTTGAACACTGGGTCCGCCTCTGCACGAGCCAAATCTGACTTGCCATTGGACATAAATGAAATCGCCTCCATCAACAGTTCCACCATTTTGGTATCATCATCATAAACCATGAAATCCTCCTCATCTTCATCGAACCGTTCAGGAGAGATCTCCTTTTCTCCACCTTTTGCACCAGAACTTCTCCTTGGACCATCCCTTGGGGGCGTCCTTGGAGGCCTTGGCCTCTGTTCATCCAGCGGATCACCATGCTCAAAGACACACTTGTCCCCATAACGACACTTCCCAGACTGAGCAAACTGGATACACCTTACACCAGTTGCGTCATGTGAGAACTTACATTCCTTTCCAGAGAAGCAGTGTCTCCCAGCCACATAGTACTTGCACCAATACGATTGCAGCACCACATCATCTTCTGAATGGATGAATATGCAGTGTTCACCAAATTTGCAGCGATCTTTTCCCTGCTGAACCAATAGCAGAAGCCTTTCTTCCTCTTCTCCAAGCGCTCCGCCTCGTACCGGTCCATAGGGCGATTCTGCTCTACATGAACATTGCCACGTACCTGAGAACTGCTCCCTTCACCCAAGGTGCTATCAGTATTTGATGCTTGGAGTACAGCTGGAAAACCTGGCCTTGGTCCTACCACCTTCATGATTGGTTTTCCGCCAGCTCCTGAGCCACGCTGAGACGATCCAAAAACATTGAATATTTTCACGAAGGCCTTTCTAGTGCCGATCTTCTGCACCCTTTTGATTGGATGTTTCATTGCTCCAACCTTGCATCCAGATACATTCAAACGACACAACCTCCTATACCCAGCTCTATATCCCTTTTTCCAAAGAGCCATAAGAATTCTAGAGGCAGTAACATTCTCCACCTCTACCTTTTCCAACTGTCCCTCACTTTCCGGAACAAACCCATCCAACCCATCCATATCTGAAGACCTTTCCATCTTTTTTGACACCACTTCGTCGAGGTAGTCTTCAGAGATCCAGGGTAAGTTCCTCTTAGAGGAAAAATCGTCACCATTGTCTGGTCCTTCACCAGGATACCCCTTTGTGCTGTCAAAGATCTTACCAGTAGTGCGGTCCTGCATAGAGAAATCCCAGTTGGAAGCAACGCGAGAGTACACTGACCACAAGAACATCCTTGTGCCAGCCAATCTTGACGACCCACTGGATGTCTCCTCTTCTGGAGAAACTTCTGGCGCTTTGCCATCCCTTCCAGTGTCACCAATTGTCTCACCTCCAGCATCTTCAATGGGAATAAGGGATTCATTGTTCCCTTGATCAAGTACCGCATCTTCCTGTCCAAGAATCTCCAGCACCGCTGTTGAAGGATCCACTTCCTCATCAGCATCGTCGTCCATCCTGTTCCAGACAACCTCCAATTGATCAGCGCATGTCGCCGCCTGAAGGAACTCCATCAATTGAGCCTTCCCGCGCTGCCAGAGAAATTCCGAATTTACCACTGACCCTTGGCCTCCTAGGGTAAGGAACGGAGCAACCAATTTGGCTACCCTCGCCATAAGTTCAACGTGAACTTCCATGCCTGGACTGCGACTCCAATCGTAGGCAATTGCCTCCATAGCAGTTCCAAACTTATCAGTATTTCTGAATTCCCCTTCCAGACCAGGAGACAGCAATGCACCCATCACCGAGAGAGAGATAATTTCCCACCACTGGCAAGCACGGATTGTCATGGAACGAATGATGCAAATCACCATAATATCCTTGATCTCTCCTTTGAAAAAGGAGTGTCCCAGTCCCTAGCTGGGCATTCAATTCATCCACTTGAACCATGTCAGCACATATCCTCTGTGCCGCAGTCGCTATTGCCGGCCAGATGGTACGATCGGTCAAACCGCGACGCATAACCCAATCAGTTGTTGGCGACTGAATCAGCGTTCGTGGATCATACACCATAACCACCATTGTACCATCATCCATTAACTGATCAGCATCGTCCTCCAGTGCCAGGTTCAAATCCTGTTCGCTTGCACCTTCGGATGACATGCTAATAACCAAATTTCGATCCATCTTATTGGACCCCTTCTGACAGTCCCCTTGCCCCACAGGCAACTTGCCGACAGCAACCTTCCAATAAATCCGATTCAGAAGGCCTTTAGTAAGCAATTGCTGAGGGTCCTTCTTCACCGGACGAACATCCAGTGTCTTCGCACCATCACCACGGAGTTCATTGCTCCCACCTTCTCCTTCTTTTTGGTCAGTCTCCTCGCCAGAAATTTGCACTGCTCCTTCCAGCGCCGTCTCCTGTCCAGCCACTTCTTGCCCAGGAAGAACTTGAGCGCTTTCAGATACATTCACCTGTCCAGCAACACCTTGCCCAGGTAAAACCTCATCCGTGGAGCCCACCGCCAGCGAACCAACTATAACTGAGCCATCCCTTGCTCTTTTTTGAGACTGTTCAGTTCGACGAGAAGGTTGTGGTAGCGAAAAAACTTGAGAAGTCACTTCTTGGCGGGTCTCCCCCCGCGACGCTTTGTCGCGCCCTTCGCCAAGGTGAACCGATTTTTTCTGCCCATCATTGGAGCTTGAAGAACCAGCAATTGGAACATTGCCACGCATCGCAGTTCTTTGTGAATCCCTTTCTCGCAAAAAGATTTCCCTCAGGTGTCGCGCGCTGTTGGTTTCTTCCTCGCTTGAATCACCTGAGGAATCTGCATAGGAGACCAAAGCTCCCGTTTGATCATCATCATCCACCAAATCTGCCCACGCTCTGCTGAATGGGTACGACAA